TTTGCTCCCGGTGCCTCTGGTCTGCTGGGGACCATCTCCAGCAGACCAGGGACACCGGGAGCAAAGGAGGCGGAGGGGCGCTGGGGTATAAGATGAAACCCTATCTTTTAATTAAAAAGATAGGGGGTCGTCTTATACACCCAGTCGCCCTATACGCCGGAAAATACGGTAATTTAGCAATTTGCAAATGTTGCTACTTCATTAATCTTTCCTGACCTTTAAATAATTATATTAAACATTACCGGATCTAGTACAGAACCCTTGATGCCGCCTCCTGTCAACTTTTGGCTAAGATCTTTTACCATCAAATCAATGGACTCTACAAGATCATACAAGGCCTCAGAAAATACAGGATGTGTAGAAGACCACTGATCTAATGAAGATGAAAAATGAGTCCAAACGGAAACCTAGGGGAGTTCCATAACTGTGGACTTTCAGAACATTCGGATCTGGAACAGAGACCAATTCTCAAACTGCTGTCATATTGCGAAGACATGAGATGCTAGGATTTTAATCTCAGAGAAACAAGTTGCCTCTTAGATGGAATATGTTCAAGCTATGTGCAGCTAGCTGGAACTATGAACATACCCTGAAAGATATGAAGAAATAGTAGATCAGGGAGGATGTGGCCCACTTCTAGCATCTGATGTGGAGGAGTGAACACCAAGAGAGGAGAAACTTCTTTGCACTTGGCTAGCCATTCACAGGCTTTGTTTAATCCTAAATTGATAGTGTCAAATTTGCAAATGAATTATAGCTCTGCAGTTTCTCTTTGAAGTCTGTTTTTTTAAAGTTTTTTTGTTGCAGGATGAGTGACACTCTTAGCGGTACCTGAAAAAGTGTTTTGCAATATCATTTTTAATCAGATGAATGGTTGTTGAGAAAGTATTCAGGGAAGACCAGGTTGGATTTCAATCAGATAAATTATGTTTAGACCAGATTTTCACTTTGAGAAGATTGACTGAGAAAGGTTTAGAATGCCAACACTTTCAAATTGCATTGATTTTATGAAAGGATTTAATAGTGTCAACAGAGAAGTACTTTGATATTCCAGAAGATTGTGTCCTGATTCCGTCTGCTGACTTGGCAGACAAAGATTTGATCAGATTAGCAAAGACATGAAATGGTGCAAGAATTTTATGGTTAATGTAAAGCAAGGTTGCTTAGTATCCCCACTTCCCTTCTGTGATGAGAAGAGTGATGGTTGCCGCTGATGCTGGAGAAACTAGATTTTACAGGTGACAATCATACTGGATACCAACATGGATGAAAAAGATTTGTTATGGGCATAAAAGCAGAAGCTACCTAAGTAGGACTTCGTATCTGTATGTAGAAGTCCAAGATTAGTTAGGAAAGAATGGTGAACAATGGCAGATGTGTTTGATGGAGAACAACTTGAATGTTAATGACTCTGTTGCTTTTACTAAAGAGCTGAAGGAAAAATTGGCAAAGCAAGTTGATAAATTTCTCACTTGTCAAACACTTGGAAAAATAAAAAGATTATACAACACTATTACCCTACCAACACTACTGTACGCATCTGAAATGTGGCAGATGTTGGAAGTACACAAACAGAAAGATGCTTTGTTTGAGAAGAATTTAAAAAAAACTCACTGATTACAAGATATCTTCAATGTGGACGTGTTGCATTGCACAAGTCAGCAGACTGTGGACTCAGTTAGACAGAGAGGACTATGGTGGTTTGGCTATGTCACAGCAAAAGCACAAGGTATATCTTAAATTGGATTCCATCTGGAGAGAAGAGAAGGCCTGGAGGATAAAGAATGATCAACTGCAGAACAATTGCAAAAATTGTTCTTGCCGCCACTAAGATGACAATTTACAATTGAGTTAAACATCTTGTCTGCACAGGCAGCAATAGGAAAAATGGCTTGCTTCATGTTCCAGAATGCACAGGAGAGTCTAAGTATCAGTTAGTTATAGATGGACATCCCACTAGCCTTATTTACTGTCTCAGAAGTTTCCGAGGGGTAGCCGTGTTAGTCTGTAACTGAAAAAAAATTAAACAAGTTTTTTTTTAAATTTTAAGCGTCTCATGTTTAGGTTCTCTTTATCTCTTATCTTCAAATACTTTTATGAAAGTCTAACTATCTTAATTTCTGCATTCTCAGACAAAAACCTAGTAAAATAGATTATGTTTCTGAGCAAATGGTAAGCCATACTGACATTCAAAGATTTAGTATTTGCAGTATTTATCATATTTTATCTTTTCTCCCAGCTTCGTTCCTGCTAAACATTCTTCAAATTTGGCATCCATTTCTTGGCTCTGAGCTTCAGTGAACAGATTCTTCCAATCTTTAACAGTACCTGAAAAAGAGCACTGAAATAAATTAATAATTATTCCCGGAAGTACAAGATCACATCAGGTAGATAACAATCTAATGCTGCCACAAACAGCTGTAAAGGCTGAACTTATTGCCATATTTCAGAAAGGCTTGCAACCTTTATGAATGTGGATGGTGTTCTTAAACTCTTAGACTACGTCTAGACTAGCATGGTTTTCCGAAAATAATTTTAACGGAAAAGTTTTCCATTAAAAGCATTTTCGGAAAAGAGCATCTAGATTGGCAGGACGCTTTTCCGCAAAAGCACTTTTTGTGGGAAAGCGTCCATGCCCAATCTAGACGCGCTTTTCCGCAAAAAAGCCCCGATCGCCATTTTCGCAATCAGGGCTTTTTTGCGGAAAACAAATCTCAGCTGTCTACACTGGCCCTTTTGCGCAAAAGGGACTTTTGCCCGAACGGGAGCAGCATAGTATTTCCGCAAGAAGCACTGATTTCTTACAGTAGAACATCAGTGCTTTTGCGGAAATTCAAGCAGCCAGTGTAGACAGCTGGCAAGTTTTTCCGGAAAATCAGCCGCTTTTCCGGAAAAACTGGCCAGTCTAGACACAGCCCACACGTATTATATAGCAACAAGAGCCCTATCAGAAAAAGAAGGGTTAAAGAAAACCCTTTGCACTGCATTTTACAGGTATATGTGCATGCACCTTCTACAACCACGGCATGTTCCACAGAGCTAATATTTTGAAAGAACAGCTTTCCATGCCTGAATGATCATCTGGCTAAGGATGGGCCATTTTCAAGAGAAGAAAATCTGCTATGAATTAAACAGATTAATTCTACATTTGGAAGCTCCTAAAAAGGTCACAACAGTTATGTACCTTATCAAGCCATAAACATGTTAATTAGCTCCCATGACCAATTTTGATTCCTGCTCTCAGCTCTTTGATATCATTACTCTGTATAAATGTACCTTTTCTGAAGAGGACGGGAGCAAATTTGCCATGTGTTTCTTGGGATTTGTTGCTCATGGATTCGAAGGTTGCATTCTCTGCAATAGTCTGAATCTTTTCCTCAGGGAGACAAAATCCCAAAAAATCAGCTATTTGTTTCACTCCTCCATATAAGTTCTGAAAAACAAGAATGTGCCAGAGTGATTGATGACTAAGAGCAAACATGCCAGAAATGTTTTCCTCAGTCTTGTCAAATGACTGAGGTCATTGATATTCTGATCCATACAAAAGGCAGAACATTAGAGAAGTATATTAAGTTCAGGAGGTTCCAGGAACAGCATTTACTTTAGATAAGATTTTGGAATGTGCTTTCTTTGCTCAAATGGCAAAATGTAAGTGAATGTGCTCGATCCTCTGCATGTCTCGATTTTAGTACTAATTATTGCCTGGCTGCGTCTAGACTGTCATGATTTTGTGCAAATACTTTTAACGGAAAAGTTTTTCCATTAAAAGTATTTGCGCAAGAGAGCGTCCATACTAGCATGTGCCTTTGCGCAAAAGATTTGCTTTTGCGCAAAAGCATCTGTGCCAGTGTAGACGCTCTCTTGCGCAAGAAAGCTCCGATGGCCATTTTAGCCATCGGGCATTCTTGCGCAAGAAATTAACTTGTCTGTCTACACTGGCCCTCTTGCGCAAGAATACTTGCGCAAGAGGGCTTATCCCTGAGCGGGAGCATCGGAGTATTTGCACAAGAACCACTGATTTTGTACAGTACAAAGTCAGTGTTTTTGCGCAAATACTCGCGGCCAGTCTAGACACAGCCCCTTTGTTCCCTCTAATATTTCCCAACTCTGGACAGAATGAATTTTCTTATGTGCACCACTGTGGAGGGGATGTGCACCTTCTTATTGCTGCACATAACAAAATTCACATGGCAGGAGTGGGGCAAAGGGTTCTAAATACGGGGGAGAGGGGGATTCAGGGCTGGGGCAGAAGGTTGGGGTGCAGGAGTATAAGTGCTCCAGCTGGGGATGCAGACTCTAGGGTGAGGGTGGAGTTGAGAGGCTCAGGGTTGGGACAGAGGGTTGGGGTGCAAGGTCTCTGGCTGGGGGTATAAACTCTGGGGAAGGACTGTGGGCTGGCATGCCAGAGGAAGTACAGGCTCTGGCCTGGGGATGAAGCCTTGGGAGGTACCAGAGTGTTCAGGACTCAGGGGAGACAAAATGGGTTAGGGAGGGCTCAGCTTACCTTGGTTGCTCTCTGCTGGGATAGCAAGGAGAGATTCCCTTTCGCCGGATCCAGCACCTTCAGGGCTAGGGGAAAGATCTCTCCCTACTGCAGCCCTGAACCCCTGTGCAAGGCTTAATGTGTGTGTGGCCGCACAGCTTCTTAGGGGGAACCTAGATTACTACTGATAACATTTATCTAGCAGCATCAATTAGTATTGTTCTGTACCAATATTGATATTATCTAACCTGGAAAATTTAGTTTAAAATCCTCAAACTGCAAACATGGACATGCTTAATTTCAAGCATGTGAATAGTCTCACTGAATTCAATGGGACCACTCTCATGCACATGCTTAATGTTGCAGGGACAAAAATGTTTTCATGCTTGAGGAGGGAGTTGGGCTGCCGTTAAAAGATCTATTAGCAAATGGGGAAAACCAGCTGCAACATCATATACCTGTTCTCTGCTCAATATGGTTTTGATTGGGAGAAAATGAAAACCTGACAAGGCAAGATGCTTGAGAATGTAAATGAAGGGAGCAATTCTACAATCAGAACCAAGTACATGACCCAATAGGGCCTTTCCATTTTTAAATTTCTACACTAATTTACCTCTTTCATGTCTTCATATGTTATTATCATTATATTCTCTTCATCCATATGTTTGTTCCAGGCAAGAGCATGGTCAAAATACGAGCTCCAGCAGACTACAATGAAGTTAAGGCAGACAGGTCAAAGACAGAGGTATATTTAAATTACTCCATTTACATGGGAACTTCAAGATAGAGTCCTGGAGAGCTGAGATCTTCTAATCCTTCAGTGCTCTGTTCTTTGTTGGTGGTGGTTTGTTATTGTGGGGCAGATGTTATTTTGGAAATCATTCACTCCAGACTTGACTTTTCATTTCTCTTTTTTCATAAGCAAACCATATAGTTTCTACAGGACACGTTTTTTTAAAATCTGTTTACAACAAATTAATTATTGAATATATTTTGTAGTAATCAGTAACAGCCATGTGTTATGTTTAGTCTGTCACATAACCAGGCTAATCCTGCATATGCGAAATAGGAAAGTTTAAAAAAATTAGCCTAACAACAGATTAAAGGTCTTGCAAACATTCACCATATGAATAATTTTCTTTACTTTAGTGGAATTATTAATGAGAGTAAATTTTACTCATGTGTATAAGTGTTTGCAGGTGTAGATCCTTAGAAACTATTAACAATTAGCTTCTGTTTTCCAATAATCATGTCACTGATTATTAGCTATATTAAACTTCCTCCATTTGTTGCAGAAGCTGTCAAGAAACTTATTATGGTTTCCTGATTCTCTGCCCAGCTCAGACCTGGCTCCAAGGTAACTTCAAGCAGCTTAAAGCCTACTTTAACCTAAGGTAAATGGCAAGGTCCCCAAGGGACTATTTGCCAGTTAAGGTTAGTTATCTGACACTACCACTTTGCCAAATTTAGCAGGAGAGCAGTACAAGCAGCAAGTATGTCAGCTTTCTATCCATGGAGAGCTCTCCTACATCAGAGGATTTCTCAGCTGGCCAGATCTAGCTGATTTTTGGTATCTTTCCTGACATAACTGCACAAAAAGGGGTGAAATAAAGAGACTTTGCCTATATTGTACATGGACACAGCAATGTTCCTGAAATGCACCTCAGCATCGAGCAGCTTGTCTAACAGAGGGTGGCTCAATATTTAGCTAAAATGCAGTTCTCTGCATAATGAGTATGTAAAACAAGGCAGCTTCTTACTCAAGAGGTCTGTGTCCCTGAGTGTATGCAGTGCCCTCTCTGCTTACACAAGGAAAGACAATACATCTTTAATGCTTTTCGCTCCTTTTAGCTCTGCCAAATCAGCAGTTAGGAGCCTATGAGCTGGAATCTATTCCATCTTGTGCTGCATCATCAAAACAGCTTGCCAAAAGTGGAACTAGGGTTGCCAGGTGTCCGGTTTTCACCCAGTCTGTCGGTTATTTGGGTCCCCCATCAGATTAAAAAAAAACAAACAGAAAATACTGGACATATGAAATGTCTAGTATTTCCTGTTTCCCACGGATGGAAGCCCAGGGGGACGATTTTCCTCTGCCGCATCTGGCAGAGGTGTGAAGAGCACGGGGCCATTTAAAGGAGCAGCGCCCCCCTTTTTTTGGTTTAACTTTGGTCCCGTCCCCTCCCCCCTTTTTTTTTCCTCAACAGAATTTTTTCCAAGTGTTTTCTTTTGGGGGAGGAAGGGAGGTGTCAGTATGTTTTGTTAAACCATTTGGCAACCCTAATTGCAACTACAGGCCAATGGGGTTGTGCATATGTTACTAAGGGTGCAGTCTGGCCTGCAGAGTCCTGCTCGCTAGTGGCAGTGGTGAAGAAGAAAAGAGCCCAAGTTGACTCATAAATCCTAGATGGAATTTGAGGAGCCAGCAGTGACATAAAACATTATTTAATTTTAGCATGGAACTTTAGATCTGAAGGTAACAAGGAGAAATGCACAAAATCCATAACATTTTTACAGTCTCCTTTCTTCCCCCTTTACAAGAGAACTTCTCTTGAAATGCAAGTTACTCTCATGGTTTTCCTTGAGACTGTTTCAGCCTGATTGCTATGGAGCTCCCTGACATGACAGGATTTCTGCAATTCATGTCTGTTCCCATTGCTTTGATTATGTGAACTTTCTATGGAATACTGTTTCCTCCCCGCATACTAGTACTATTTATCAGCAGATGATATTGAGACTAATGCTGGAGTTCTTCAGTTTACAGAAAGGGGTTTATCTATTCAGTTGTATCACAAACCACTGCTCGATTATACATAAAGAGGCAAATTTTCAAGTGTGCCTAAGGGACTTAGAAAACTTAAATCCTACTTTCAAAAGTGATTTGGATATTATAGGCAGACAGGTGCCTGGTAGAATTTTCAAAAGTGCTTGAAATCTGTGGGAATTAGGCACGTAGGTGCTTTTTAAAATATCACTAGGTATCTACCTGCATTTGTAGGCACTTATATCCCTTCAAAAGTCTGACTTTGAGTTGATCTAAAATGTGTTTCTATGCTCAGAGATTCAAAGCAAGAGGGGAAAAAGGAGCTGACAGCAAAAGGGTATGTGCTCCTTCATAAGATGAGAAATCACAAGAAAGGTTATGCCTTCCAGAAGGGAAAGTAAAGCTGGAATTTAGCCTCAGCATGTTAGGGACAGTACCCTTTCTACTGTACTGCCCTCTGACTATGCAAATAGCTCTAAAGCGATGCTATCCATTGTGAGCACCATGCCAAGGTTGGAGAAGAGAGAAGCACCTTCAACTCCTCAGCTCCAAGTCCCCAAACCAGATCATTACTTTGAATCCATTTGGGATTAATTTTAACAGGAGGGCCACAGATTCCCATTTTGGGCTGTGGACCAAAGGAGAGTTGAGAACATTGTACTACAGGCCTCGTGCATGCCACTGAGAAACACTGCAAAGATCTAATAATTGTACCTTCTCCACTCATGAACTTCTGAAAGAACTCATCCCAGGAGCTGATAGTTGGAAGCCCAGGATTGTTGTTGTAGAAGTGGTAATATGATACCGCTGCATCTTTTGGATTTCGAAATATCACCACTATCTTTAGAAACAACAAAGGCAAATGAGTCTTTGGTATTTTAAGGTAACCTTTGATCTCAAGAGTCCTGCATTAAAATATATATATATATATATCAGCTCTTACAGGAACTGAAATTTGGAAAGTGAGACCCCAATCCTGCAAACTGATTTGTGCGGGCAGACTTTACACCTTCATGGAGCAATAACGGCTCTCTCATACTGGGTCACTTTGCAGAACTGGTATTTAAGATGTGACCTCTACATGTGAATTGCAAACAGCAATCAGTAAAAAAAAAATCAATTCCATTTACTACCCTGTTATAATGAACAATGTTGGATTGTGGGATCTGAGGAAGTCAAGTAGAGCTACAGAACTGGTCTTCAGTTAAATGATTTTTCACCAGAAAATGATGACTGGCCAAAAGTTTTCCCAGAAATGTCTTTATTTCTTGTTAATATAGGAGGAAGGGAGACACACACATCCCAGCATAGCGAAGATCCCGTGTTAGGCATTCACCCGGGAAATTACTGACACAGGTTTGAGTCCATTATTTTTCTCTTTTTCCCTTTTTCTTTCCCTCTCTCTGGTTTTTCATCAAAATATTCAAAATTTCTTAGTTACATTCCAATGCCAAAACCTTGCATTTTTTGTGAAACTGAATTCTTGTTTTCCAGGCAATCCTACAAAAAACTTTTGCCGGGGAAAACTGGGAGTTGCTTGGAAAGTGGATAATATCCACCATTATTAAAATGCTCACTTACCTTTGCTTTAATGTCAAAAACAGCCTTGGGGATATTATCATAATGGAGATGTGTGATAAAAACACGTGGCGAGGATGAATTTTTTATTTTCTAAATCAAAATAAGAAGTATATGTGTAAAAAAGGAGAACCACAATTTTTCTACCTCAAATATATTGACTATTTACAATATGTATACATTTAATCTAAAAATCTCTTTTGCGTGAATATATTGTTTATTGGTAACTGTAGTGTCTGTTCCGGGTTCTTCTCATCCTTCATAAATGTCATCTAGAGGACATTGTTATTAAAACCTAATTTCTTGCAAAACTGCATTGTTTTTAAGCAGATTTGAAAATTGTCCCAAAACAGTAGCATAGAAAGGCCAGATAGTTAAAGAAAAAACTGTTTACATTGTTCTTTCTATTAATTCATAATGACTGTAAAGGTCTCGCTTTTATGACATTTTATGTGTGAACATTTAGGCCCAAAGCAACAGAAACAGAGCATGCACTTGTGACTGCTGCTGCAGAAAACATATACAGGGGGACTCTACACCCTCCTGTGAACTTTAGACAAGAGCTTCAGACGGGGTGATGGAAAAAATAAGCATTAACAGTGAATTTTCTCATGTAGTAAATAGAGAATATATATTGGGGGGCCATATCACTGCTTTCCTCCTGTGCACCAGTTGCTCTATTTGTAGGATTCTCTTTCAGGCCTGCAACACTGTCTCAGATTTAACTTTGGTTTTGTCCCATGCTATCAGCCCACATGTGTCTTAACTAAGGTTCTCAAATATTTTCGAACACTAATGAATAAAGTCTCACAGCATCCCTAAGACAAAAACAAATAATATCTCTGTTTTACACGAGGACATTGAAGAGGAGAGTTAAATGTCTTACCTGAAGACAGATCCAGTGCTCTCCTAACCAATGTTCTCTCTAATCTTTTCCATTCATGTGCAGAATGCACTTTAATGTGCATCAAGGCATGTGTGAATGTGCATCACCAGTAGAAACAAAAAACCTAGCTGTAGGTGCTCTGCTAATCAGCTGGGCAGCATATGAATCTCTCCTGAACGGCCGCACAAGCACACAGCTTATAGGGAACACTGCTCCTACCTGACTCCTACATTACTTTTAAAACCACTTAAAGAAAAGTTCGTCTATCAGGTGTCACTATTCATGGTTTGCATTATATTACACACATATAGCCATATAGTGATAGAAATGTAGCCGTGTTAGTCTGGGGTAGCTGAAGCAAAATGCAGGACAATGTAGCACTTTAAAGACTAACAAGATGGTTTGTTAGATGATGAGCTTTCGTGGGCCAGACCCACTTCCTCAGATCTGAGGAAGTGGGTCTGGCCCACGAAAGCTCATCATCTAACAAACCATCTTGTTAGTCTTTAAAGTGCTACATTGTCCTGCATTTTGATATAGCCATATACACTGTTAAGAGTCACATGTTCCCCTGATCCTGCAAATACTTAGGCGTAGGCTTAATTTTACTTAAAAAAAAAAAAAAAAAATCGCACCTTAAACTAGGATAGATAGAAGCCAGGAATAATCAGCTAATGATTTCATTAATCTTTTCTCCTCATAAGATTATGAAATATGTTTAAAATACCAGCATTCAAAATTTATACTAAGAATCTGAACTTCTACTACAGTGATACAAAGTCCAGATTAGAGTTAAAATCACTTCTGTTCTTTTTGTACACTAAAATAAATTTCACTTCAAATCACACTCATTTGCCTGTGTTTGAAGATAATATATTCCTACATGTAAAAAGTAATTGAGAATTAACTTCAAATTTCTTGATGTGGAAGTGTATCTCTCATTTGTAAAGTGTTTTGTACTTTAATAACATAGAGACATTTAAAAATACTGTCTGCTAAAAATAAGCTTAATGAGACCTGAAATTTGTCTGGTGCTGACCTGAAATTTGTCTGGTGCTCCAAATTCAAGCATTTGTACAAGCTCTATTGGTGATGCCTCCTCCTTTTTCTTTGAAGTTGCAGATGTCAGGTCATTTAAAATTTGTCGAACCCAGTTAGTTCCTGAAACAAAAAATAACTGCTAGAAGGTGCCAAGAGGGGATTTCAGACCGGTACCCTGTTAAATATCCAGCATAACTTTCTAAACAGCCATATATAACTTGTAGATGCTCCAGATAACTTATAACAATTATAGATAAATAATATATAGACAAAAGTCTGATTTTTACACTGGTGTTTCTTTAATGCAACATTAAAGGTGGAGAAATCTTGTGCTTTGGTAATTATAAGCTACATATTCCCCAAACAACTGTACTTTATTTACACTATGTGCATTTAATGGCAACCCTTATAAGCATTTAAAGGCTGCTGCTTCTGCTACATACAGTTTGTGAACACCGTGCAAGTATATGCCTACATTGCAATAAAACCCCCATGGCACCCACACTCTGGCTACGTTTACACTGGCACCCTTTTCCGGAAATGCTTAAAACGGAACAGTTTTTCTGTTACAAGTATTTCCGGAAAAGCGCGTCTACATTGGCTGGATGCTTTTCTGGAAAAGCACTTTTTCCAGAAAAGCGTCCGTGCCAATGTAGACGCGCTTTTCCGCAAAAAAGCCCCGATCATCATTTTCGCGATCGGGGCTTTTTTGCGGAAAAGATTACTGTGCTGTCTACACTGGCCCTTTTCCGGAACAGTGTTTCCGGAAAAGGACTTTTGCCCGAACGGGAGCAGCATAGTTTTTCCGGAAAAACAATGACGATTTTACATTAGATCATCATTGCTTTTCTGGAAAAGCAAGCGGCCAGTGTAGACAGCTCACAGCTTATTCCGGAAAAGCGGCTGCTTTTCCAGAATAAGTGGCCCAGCGTAGACACAGCCGTCAGGCTTATGTGGCTAAAAACAGCAGTGTAGATGTTTGGATTCAAGAGAGCCTGGGCTCTGAAACCGCACAAAGGTCTCACAAACCAGGCTCTAGGCCCACACAGATATCTATACTGCTAGTTTTAGCTTCATATCCCAACACCCGTGAGTTTGAATCCATTGACCTAGGCTCCAAGGCTTGGTGAAACACATTTGTTATTGCAGTGTAGATGTACTCATGGTGGCTTAGACCCTGTTGCGATACAGGTGGAGGGCACCTTCACAGCAAGCTAAAGAATGGAGAAGTGAAGATAACAGATTTAAGCAATTTCTCTGAAACACTCTCACAGTCACAAAATTCCTGCACTGGGAAAGCCCAATTCGAGCCCCTTCTTCTCATCAGGAAGAAGGAAAAATTCAACTGGGAATGTAGGTGAGTATCTTATATACTAAGCTAAACGTTCACAGATTCCAGGGCCAGAAAGAACCTATTCCTAGGACATACTTTTAGAAAAACATAATCTGCCCCCTTCCCTGAACAAGTCATTTTGTGCCGTTAGATACCGGATACTGTAGATACTGGATCAGGCCCTATAAACAACACAGTTTGGACAGTGCCTATCTCAGGAGTGGGCACTAATTTTAGACGAGGGGCTCACTTCACTAATTTTTTAAGTGGCCCCAGGCCACCCTAAAGGGGCAGACCCGCAGGCAGAAGGGGCAGGGCCAGGACACTCGCATGTTCCCCTTCCCATAGATCCTGATTGGCCTGAGGCTGGGGGAGCATGTGAAGTCTTTACCCCCGCCTTCCCACCCCCTAGAGAGAACTGCCAGCTGTTCTGAACAGCTGGCAGTTCCTTCTAGGCAACCACCTGCTTGCAGGGTAGGAGGAGATTTCACAAGCTCCTCCACCTCCAGGCCAAAGAGGGGCTGGGGGCGGGAGGAGCACGCAAAGTCTCTCACTCCTCACCTCCACCCTGCAAGGGGTACACGGCACTTGCAAGGAGGGGGCAGAGAGCGAGAGACTTTGCGCACTCCTGCAGCCCCCAGGCTCTGATTGGCCTGGAGGCAGGGGAGTGGCAGAGCATCCATGGGCTGGATCCACCAGCTTGGCAGGCTGGATCTGCCCCACCGAGGCCCCTTTACCCATCCCTCTGGCTTGAGGATCACACTAAGGCATTTGGGTGCTTCCATGAGGCATCAGTGTATTTGCCCAGAGGAAGAAACATAGGTGTCTAGGAAACTTACAGCAAAAGTTAGGTGTTGAGTAAATTTACGTGTCTATAGGATTAAGGGGGGATGATTGAATGATGCCTAAAAGTAGGGCTTTGGTGCATAAACATGGAATTTGCACACCTACATTCCTTTATGGCCTTGGCCTAAGCTAACACTAAACTAAATACTACCAAGTCTTCTGAAAAAATCATCAGCCTTGGGCTGAATACTACATTGATAAGGGAACTGAACAACATGTATCTCCAAAAGTAGTGTGTGAGGGGGGAGAGTCTACCAGGCAGGAGAGCAAGTTGGAACATGAAGGTTTAAGTCCCATTGTGGATTTTGGTTTCCCAGCTAGGAGCATTTCCACGACACAAGGCAAACAGGAGTAACTACTATCAGACCCATAAAAAAAAAAAAAGAGGCTGATTTGTTTTCACAAAAAGAGGAAACTGGATATGGTTAAAGAAAATCAGGACAGTGAGCTCTGGAGGTATAAGAGATGCCCTTTTTCTTTCTTTACAGTTTACTTTTAAGCTACATTAAGAGAACATGGACAGAGATTTCCTGGATTTGTATAATTTTGGCTGAATAAAAACCCTATAAATTAACTGGAAATTTTACCTGGATCTCTTATGAACAATCTCGCTACAATTGCTCATCTTATGGCTCTGCCAGAAAAAAAAAAAGATTCAGCTCCAAGAATAGTTTCTTTAGTAAATGGAGTTATAATGTAAGTGCTTTTTTTTTTATCCATGTCTATATGTTGCAAGGACAAAAGTATAGTTTTTTATAGACACACTGGTTAAAACCACTATATATTTTAAAGAGTTTGTCTGTATGATGAACTCCTCCTCCTAAATGGTAAGCTAGGACCACAACATTTGGCATACAATTTATCATGACTTAAAAACAATGTAAGAGTTTGGTTGTGCCAGGAAAATTGGATGTCCCTGGAATGGAATTGCTTCTCATAAAAACCAAACAGAAAAGAGAATCATCAAATTAAGTACAGTCCTCAAAATTGACATAACTGAGTGCATGTTGAAAGAGACTGAACCAAGATGAGCCAGAAAAATAGGATGAACCTGGAATAGGTTTGCTTTTCAATAAACCATACAGGAAAGAGATAAAATGGAGAAATTTTGAGTAGAGCTCTGTTTTGGTACAGCTAAATCAGTGCTTTTGGACTGAAAACTAGAAGAAAATATTACTGGAAACCAAATTAACTATAGCCCTTTTATGTTATAACATTGTGAGCAATTAGAGTTTATAGGGATGAAGAAAAAAAAATACTTGATGGAATTCCCATTTTAAAATATTTACTAACAAAAATTAAACATTTTAACAATCCCTTTTTAAAGAAATCTGAAATAAAAATGTACTTCATAAAAATAGCATTGTATTTTTGAAAATATCATCATTTAAATAAAGCACACACATTCTCCTATTATTTTCCAAAACAAAAACTGAATTGAGTTATGGACCCACAAATGCCAGGTATATCTGCTAGTTTCCTATATAATTTGAACAAAGATCACCTATTAGCCAGTCAGATTCCCATTCAATTGCCTTAGAAGAATCTTCTTTTTCTCCTCCATCAACTAAATTATTCTTCACAATATGTGCTACCAAGTCCTTCCTTTCAGAATCCCATCTCAAATTCATGTCAATTTACAGTGGGATTTTCAAAAGTGCTGAGCATTGGCTTAACTTCAATGGGAGCTGATTCCCTTCATTACCTGTGTCTCAACCATCTTATGGTCTCTGTTCTAAACTAGTGGCGTGGACTGTGCTTCATTATACCTTTGCATAGCTTCAAGCCTGCCACGAGTGAATTATTATTGTAACAAAAGTTTTGGGAACAGTTCAGAGTCTGTCCTGGCTCTGCATTCTGTTGACTGACCCCCATTACTTAACCATATACCATTCTAATGATACATATGCAGAAAAGGGATGAAGTAGAGCAGCTATAAGAAGCACTTAAGATTTCCTGATAGTTGTACAATTAAGAGCTCTATAACCCTGCACGATTGTTTGTATTTGTTGTCCCACATCCAACAGCATGCCTCTATCCTGGTAGTAAAATCACTGGTACGTTAACCAGAAATTTGATATTATGCAAGAGGAAAGAACGCTGGCTCACTGATACGCTGCTTCTCTGTGGCAAATGAGGGATTTACTGCGTGTAGCATTTGAGTCTCAGCGCTTTTCTGCATTCTTAGTAAATGATCACGCGGATTTGACATCTAAGCACTTTTCCTTTCAAGTCTGCACCAACCAGCAGCCACACTCACCACATTTAGGATAGGCGACTAGGATCACATCATCTTTTCTGAATTCCATCCGTTCCAAGGCTTGGAAGTTCTCAGCGGAACATAACCCGCCAGGGTAAAGCACCCCCTTGAAGGTGATCAACAGCTCCTCGGGTTTTTTTTCTTTAACGCTCTCAAAAAACTGGTTTATTTCCCTAAGAATGGGGTTCGAAGCCATGGCTGGACTTTGCTGCGCCGTTTGCCGGTGCAGCGAGCAAAACTGCAACTTCTCCAAATTTGCGACCGGACTCCGCCCTTTAACTGTGTCTCCAGATTTCTTTGTGGTGGGGGGGGGGAAGGGTTGACGAGAATCTCTTACATACAATCTCACTGGCTTATCCACTGCCTAGCCCCCTTTTCTCTGCCCAATAAGAAAAAAATCACAACCACAGCAAGTCTTGAATGACAAGCTTCTGGGATGAACTCTGGACCTTGAACTGATGCCCCCTAACGCGGAGGATTGCGCGGAAGGGCCCGCTTTGCGAATGGCCCTGGGAGGCATAAGTAAACAGCGTGGTAAGGGAGAGAAACAAACGGTGTGAGTCCAACCCCTTAACCTCCACGTGGTATGATAACGCCCTTTGGCCTAACCCCGGTTGTAAAGTTTCCCCCGGATCTCTGGAATCTGGGAGTAGCCGCTGTTCGCGTGAGAATGACTTAGCGTTGTTGAGCTGTGGCTGCTCGCGTGAGAACCACAACTTGCAAAACTGGCTGAGTCACCGCAATAAAAGGAAATAAAAGGAGAACTAAAGGAGGGGAGGGGGACTGTGTTCGGATTTCCTAGTAAAGACTGTGCCTAACTTTCTCCTATAAGCCTCAGAGGAGTAACCTGTTAGTCTGTAACTTTAAAAACCAGTAATCCTGTGGCACAGCTGAGCTTCTCCTCCAAGATTAATAATGATACCTAAAACCCTCACATGGCAAAAACCAACCAGACAGCCTTCATTATGATACCTGGATATCCCAATTTCTAGTATTAACCCTCCAAGAAGTGGGCTGTGCCCACGAACACTCAGGATACCATCTACATGTTTTGTTAGTCTTCACAGTGCTACTAGACTATTTGTTGTTTTTTAAGTTTTTCCTGTTACAGACTTACTTGCTACTCCTCTGAAGCTTCCCCACATAAGAGCCTGTCATATCCACCAAGGACTCAAGAGAATCCAATCAAGCCCGTTCAGCAGCATTCTTCAGAGACTCCACACTGCAGAAACAGGCTAGAAATCAATTTTACTATGTCCACTGGTGGCATACCATAGAACAAGCCGGAGGAGTGAGGGGTGATCTCATCCCTGCCCTGTAGCCCTGGGTGCCTTACTATGCCTTGCTGTAGAAGCAAGCTCCTGGCCACTCAAAGTCTTTTAGCATGCAAGCCACACTTGGAGTACCTGTTTGTGACTGTAGCCTGCTAGCTACACAGAGCTCTGACCAGTGCTGATCAGTATATCATTTGGGCCCATTTCAGCACCTTCATTTGTACCCAGTCTGGCACCTCTGAACTTGGCAGTTCATGGTTCTAGTACCTCCAGGCTTATTGCATCAGTTCTTTCATGTGATTCAAGCAGCAGCACAACCCTTCCCCTCCACTCACACATCACTTGGCTGCCAGAGGAACATCCCCAGAGCATTACATGGTTGCTTGCGTGACACTTGAATTTCGCCACCCCAGCACTCTGGCACCACTTTCATTACAAATTAAGCAATGTTTTGGTTATATTGCAGGGAGACACCTACACATCCCTCCCAGTCCTGAATCTTCTCCCCAAAATGTATGTTCTGTAGTTCCCAGCCTTTCCAGAACTGTTGAAATATATTAAGTCCATTATTCCTTTAACAGAATAACATGCCAACTAGGGATGTTAAGAAGCAGGTATTTCACTAATTGTGTAGTCGATAACATTTTTATCAACAACATGATTAGTCAATAAGGGAAGCAGGGCTGGCCTTACCATGAGGCAAACTAAGGCGGCCGTCTCAGATGCCAGACTTGGGGGGGGAACCACTAGGACCCAGAGTGTAGAAAATTGTGTCTGCTGCTGGTGCATATGTATTCTCTCTGCTCTAGATGCCCAGAGATGGTGGAGTGCCATGAGAGGAGTAGAACAGGAAGAAGGCAGAATTGAGACCTTTCAAAGTTTTGGCCCAAGCGAGGGGACATGAGGGCGTCATTTGAGCTCCCAGCCTCAGGTGCCAAAATGTTGTGGGCCAGTCCTGAAGGGAAGGAGCTCAGTCCTGGCTTGGGCCGGGTCCAGGAGCTACCCCCATTGCAGCTCTGCAGTTTAATTGCAATAAGATCCTGGCTGCCTGCCTGCCCAACTCTTACTACATTTTAAATGCAGAGCTGCAGCAAGGGTAGGTCCCAGACCTGGTACGAGTTGGCCACCAACAGACCCTGGAGACTGTGCTGGGGGGAGAACTGGCTTTTAAGCTGGCTTCCCTCCCCTCTCTCCGGCACTGGTTCCTGCTTCCCCCCCTTTGCTGCCTCTGTATCAAGTTCTCAACTAGGCTTATCTGTTAGTCGACTACTCATTTACATCCCTAATGCCAATTTATTACCTTACACAGCTACCTAGATACAACAGACTTCCGCTAATCCGGCACCTTTGGGACCCAGGGGGTGCCAGATTATCGGATATGCCGGAGTATCAGGAGGTACTCCGGCAGGGGGGCTGTGACAGATTTCGGGGGGAGAGGGTCGGGCGGGGAACAGCGCAGCATGGGGCCAACCCTGCAGCACCCCAACCTGGCAGCCGTGGAGCCAACCTCAGCGGCACTGCGGGACCAGCCCAGCAGCACCCCAGCTGCTCTGCCCCAGGGCTTCCCCAACCAGTGGTGGACTTGGGGAAGGGCAGGCAGAGCAGCTGGGGTGCTGCCTGGCGCTGAGCAGGGGGGTGAGGGGCGGCGCTGTGGGACCAACCCGGCAGCACCCTCGCTGCTCTGCTGTGTGTTGTTTCCCCAAATCTTCAGCTGGTCAGTTTCAGCAGCAGCAGAAGACTTGGGGAAGCTGCACGGAGCAACTCCAAATGTCCAGCTGGCCGGAGCACTTCCGGGTTCCAGTTGGTGCCAGACTATCAGGAGTACCGGACCACTGGACGCCGGGCAATTGGAGTTTTACTGTAGAACTGAAAAACTAAGAAGGAAATAGAAAACAAAGTAAACACTTGATCTGTGAGTTTGCATTGTGCAGGACTGTGTCACAAATGTTCTGTTAATCCAGTGTGTACCTTGCACTGACAACAGACTTGAAAAGCTGGAAGTCCATTGAAAATGCTGAACTTCTGAAGAGTCTGTTTCTCCTTTACATCTATAATTAACTATATTTCATATATAGCTCATTGGACTCAATAGTAAAACACAAAAAGAGAGAGTGAGTTCAAGCAATGAGACATAAAAGTCAGAAATGGTTACAAGAAAAGTAAAAATTAAAACTCTTACTAGTGTCTACTTAAGACACTATTTTAGTTGCAAAGCAAACTTCCTCATCACATGCTTCAGCAGGTTGACCAAACTCTCAGATCAAGTCTCCTTTTCCTGCATCCAACACCTGTTTACTTTTGTCTTCTCAGGTGAAGGGAATGAGGTGAGGAGGGGGAATAAGAAAGGTGCTATGGGTTGTCCCACACCCCATCTCCCTCCCCAGGTCACCTCCAAACCCTCTGCACCCCCCTGCCAGGTCACAACTCCCTCCCAAACCCAGTACCTCCTCATACAACCCTTCCCCAGGCCAGAATCCACTCCTGCACCCGTATCCTCTCCCTGACCTTACACCTCAATCCCCTGCCCCAAGTCACAATCCCCTTCTTTACCCAAACTCCCTCTCAAACCTCACACCATCTCCTGCACCTCAGTCCCTTACCCCATGTGCCCTTCTGCACCCAACCTCCATCCTAAACCCCGTACCCTCTCCACAGAAAAGTGCGGCCATTGACCATTTTCCAGACTTATGGGGTGCCTTCCCCCCAATAAAATTGCCTACCTATTGGTCTTCAGCACAAAGATCTGAAACTGGCTAAACAGTTACTAAACAATTCTACTTTCCAAAGTGTAGTTATCTATGCCCAGAATCATACCTACTAAAACAGAATGAGCACTATTAAAAGAAAACTTTCTATGTCACTCTCTGCTCTCCCATTCCACAAAAAATCCCCACTTCTCGATCCCCTGTTGTTTGCTTCTGGTTTACCTTGTTCCTGCCCACAGTGAGGCCTGGGGCTTCCCCCTGCAGCAGGACAAGCTGGTACTCACACACCAGCCCCTGGTGAGCCTCCAAGCTTCAGAGTTCCCTGTGGGGCTGGAGCGCAAGCACTAGCTCCCCACTATGGTAGGAAGCAGGGCTGCTTTATGAAAGTGTGCTGCCTCTGCTGCCAAAGAGGGAAACATGGCTCCATCGCTGCCACTCCTCCTCCCTGCCTCAGGCTGGAGCCACATGCATTGCTGATAGAGCAAGGAAGCTTTTCCCCTGCCACTCCCATTGGCCAGAAATTGCAGACAATGGGAGAGACAGGAAGTGGTGTCTACAAGTGCAGAGTGACTGTAAACCACCTTTTCACCCTACCAAATGGGAGCTGTACCAAGTAAGGGCTTTAGTTCCCTGCACCCTCCCACCCAGACTGCCATCCTTGCCCCCTCCTACACTCTACCTCCCACCCAGACTCCATACCTCTCCCTCAGCCCACTCCACAGTGGCCCCTTCCGCACACTAATCCCCTTGTTTTTGACTCCACCCCAGAGTATATTAGGGCCCCACAAAATCTACTAGATCTGGGCCCCCAGAAGACCTAGCCTCTCCCTCTTGCAGAGCTCTAGGGGCTGGAGCTCTAGGGGAACCCTGATGCTCCCAGTTGCATGAGGTGATTGTCGCTTTGTCTTTTTTTCCCTGCTTCTCAGAGAGTTGTATTATGTTTTTGTTTATTTTTTTTGTTTGTTTCTCAGTTGTGTGCCTCCCCCAATTCATTTTTCTGTGGTTGGTGGCCCCTGACCAAAGAAGGTTCCCTATCTATTTTAACCACTTACCGATCTATGAGAGGACTTCCCCCTCTCATGCCATGAAAGCTTACTTTGCTTTAGAGGATTTGATGAGGGATCTTGACGTTTTCTGGAAATTTAAGTACACTATATCCCCCAGATTCACGTTTTTCCACATACTTGTTGGCCCCTTCAGAGAAGTCTAGATTGGTGAGGCATAATTTCACTTTATAGAAGCCATTCTGACTCTTCTCCAACTAATTATGGGCAGTCCTGTGGCACCCTAGAAACTAACAACCATATCAGGAATCATGAATAGAGCTCACTTCATCAGATGGGTTGTAGTGGAAATAATTTTGGTTACTTTCCCCCAGAAAGCTTGTTTTTAGGGGTGCAGACTAACACCACTCCCATAAGAACGGCCATACTGGGTCAGACCAAAGGTCCATCTAGCCCAGTATCCTGTCTGCCGACAGTGGCCAGCACCAAGTGCCCCACAGAGGGTGGACCGAAGACAATGATCAAGCGATTTGTCTCCTGCCATTCCTCTCCAGCCTCTGTCTGGCAGAGGCC